CCTTGGACACCTTTCTGCAAGGCAATATCCAACTGAAGCTGCCAGGAGCTTAGGCAGAGGCTGTGTGTAGAGGTCCCCAATAATCAATCATCCCTTCTTCTAAACTAAGAGGACCCTCAATTTTGGGCTGGGCACATGGTCACCCAAGATAGAAACCTTTCTCTGCCTCTCCTGCAGCTAGGTGCGCCATGTGACTAGACTCTGGCCAGTAGGAGATGAGCGGAAGAGACACGCATAATTTGCGGGTTATACGTTGAAAGGGAGTGAATTTGCCCTCCCTTGGCCTTGCCCCCTTCCCGTTGGCTGGAAGGTGAAGACACTGGTCGGTGGCCTTCAAACACCCAGAAGAAGACAATGCCCTCAGGACAGCAGGCCCACAATTTAGCAGAAGCCTCGTTCCCTGAAGACTGGGTAGACCAGAGCTACCGTACCCACTCGCATTCACAAAATTTAAATTTCTTTCTCATCTAAGACACTGTCACTGGCAGGCCACCTTTGGGTGCCCCCTTTAGATAAGCCTCCCTCTCCAGTTCACCACAGTCCCACCACCCCTTGTTTCCCCAACACCAAGGTCAGCTGATACCTTCTATTGAACTCATGCTGATATTTTTCCTCCTAATCCCTGCCTACTGCCCACCTGGCTCCACAGGCATTTGAGTTTGGGGCCCCTATTGACAACCCTTAAAAAACAAAGGGGAGAAGAAACAAGCTGGCGGCGTAGGTAACAGCTGCTCCCGCCACCTCCCGCAACCACATCAAAATCACAACTAAAATCCAGAACCACCAGCACTCAGAGCCTCCTGAGATCTGGCTGAACAGAAGCCCCACAGCCAGGGACCTGAAGAAGCACCGAGACCGGGAGGAGGGGCCCACACCCGGTGCCACGGGTTAAACCCCGGAGGGAATCTTGGCAGCAGAGGTTACCCGGAGGAACGAGGGGTCCCAGCCCCACAGCAGGCCCCCAGCCCAGGGCTCCAGGGCTGGGAGGAGACATCCCCACACCTTCAGGCTGTGAAACCAGCGGGTCC